CATCTAGCTCCTTACTGTGGCAGTTTCTTCCACTGTTTTGTTGCCTATCACAATGCAAGCACAACACAACAACAGGAACAAAGACATGACTGGGACCCTCAGGTGCGGGGGGGGGGGGTAGGTCTTGCGGCCAGCATCCAGGCTCCACGCCTGCCGAGGCCCCACTACAGCCTGGCCTGTCCACACTGTCCATCCCAGTGGAGCAGAAGGGTGGTGGACTGGGCTGACCCCAGACCAGCAGCGAATGTGCTTTCCCTCCTGATCCCCAGAGGAACTACGCAGACAGGAGGACACCTGCCCAGGATGACCTACCTGCAGGAGAAGCTGCGACCCTGAGCTGTCTCCCCAGAGCTGGGTGCTCAGCCTCTAGCTCCTGCCCCATACGCCACAGTACCACCGTGCTGCAAGCACATGGCTGCTGTGCATGCAGAGGGCATCACCGCCACGGCTGCTGTGCAGGAACCAGAGCACAGGGTGCGGCTACCTCACCGCCAAGGGGAGCTGGGTCCTCACAGCTCTGCGGTTAGTCCGCCCACTGCCATTCCCCAGCTGCCAGCAACCAGAGGTAACACCGCTGCCTCACCCTGGGCAGCACATCAGCCCAGCCACTCAGGTGGCAACCGGCTCCCTGCCTAGCACTGCAGCATCCAGAGTCCACACATCCCAGGTCACGGATGTGACCACTGCGTCTCTCCTTACCCACAGGGGCAGCAGCAGCCATGGCAGGGTGGAGCCCTCTTGGGAGGCCCCTGCTCCCATCCTTCCCATCCCCCCTCTTGAAGCCCCTTCCTTAGCTGGGGCAGCCTCCCCAGTCGGTGCACCAGGTCCGTCAGCACCTCCCGTGAGTTCCGCTTTCCAACTAATACCATTATCAGGGACCAACACGATATTCGTTAAAAAGAACTCTCCTAGAAGTCAATTCACAGATTTAAAGTAAACAAAGCAGCATACCTGCCCCACGAGTCCAAAGGAACGGTCCAGACTCCTCTGGTCAGTGTACTTTCTGATCTTATTATGCAACCATCCCAACTCAGCAAGTCTGACTGCTGTGTCCCGCAAAGACTTGCTCAGGTTTGCCTAAAAATAAGCACACCAAAACTTAACAAGTCAACATTAGAATGTTCATTATTATTTTCCTCAACCACTGGTGCTCCACGCTAAAGCTAGATGCCACCACTTTCAACATGAAAGTCAGGGCAGGGAATGTAGCAGTGTAGCACCTGCCTGGCAAATACAAGGGCATCTGGAAGAGAAAACCAGAGCAAGCCAGACCTCCCACCTGGGATCCCACTGTCCCTCGGGCCCAGACCACACAGAAGTAGCACAGGCCACAGAGGCCCCAGGGCACCCAGCAAGTCCCGGGAGACCTTACAGGTCAGCAGCTTACCCTCTACGCAGCCTGTTTCCTTCTGAATGCTAAACTAGATTTTACGTTACTATACCTTTCCTTCCACTTTATAACAATTGTCAGCGTTGCTCATTTTGATATTTTTGCCATCTATGCCCTGGAAGACGTACAAGATGTCTCTCACGAGAGCTGCTTCAGTAACTTCCATAGTACCTATAAAATGGTGTTAAAGAGAGTATTCACTAAAGTACACGTTTTCAGATGAAAGGAGTCTCACGGCACCACTGCCACTCTCCTCCTCAAGGAGGCGCTAATGGAAGAGGGCACAAGGCTAGGGCAGAGTGGCAGATTTGTGCGGCACCTCCTCGGAAGACCTTTCAGAGACAGGGCCACAGCCGCACGGATCACCTGGGTGTCACTCAGCAGGTGACATCTGTAAAGTGGGTCTTCCACAGAGGCATGGCCCCATTTCCAACACACTCCACGGAAATGGCATTGAGAGCACAGGAGAGCCTTGCGGTCCCCACCACTCCTCGGCACATGCAGAGTCCAGTGGTGGGCCCAGGGAGGAGCAGAAGGCCACCCCCTGAAGTCATGATGCCAGTGCACAGAGGGATGAGACTCAGAGCAGAGCAGACACGGCGGAACCAGCCATCAGAGTCGGGTCAGGAAGCTGCTCGATGTTCTGTCACCGCCTGCTCCGTCTGCGAGCCTCTTGGTCAGAGGCCAACACACGGCCGGGACTCGGTGCTTCATCGCCCTCCCATCTCTGCCTGTCTGTCTTGCTCTGGGCACGTGGATCCAGGACTAGGACTACTGTGTCTTCTCTAAGAATGTGCCTGTCGGGTAAATGGATGCACCTTGAGTCCATACTCTTAAGAGAAATCAATCAGACACACACGTAAATACCAAGTTGGTTCTCTGGTGTGAGAAACTGGAAGTATAAATGTGTAACAGATAATGTGAGAGAGGAAGAAAATGCTCACATGGGGAGGGAATCAGACAGGGGCCAGGCAAACAGAAAAGAAGAGAAAAGAAAATTAAGAAAAGGAAAGAATGGGCCCAAAGCTTCTGAAGGAGGGGCAGGGGGAGAAACAGACAGGAGCAGAGCACAGTCAGGTGCAGTCGCCACAAAGGGTGTGGCCACTACAGACTTCTAAGGGTATCAACAAAATCTGGGAAAGAAAAAGAACGTTCCTGCCCTCGTTACACAGCCAGCCCGGTCCTGCTCCTTACGGGCCACCTGACAGGGACAATCACCATCTGCCATACAGCTTGTGTCTGCAAGATACACACCTCCCAGCCATGTGCTTCCAACCTGTGTGTGTCTTTAGAGTTGAAGCGTCTTGCAGACGACACACAGTTGTGAGAATGGACAGACACAACATCTTTCTTCTAAGCTAAGCGTTCCTGCTCGATGGAGCTCCTAACACATCTGGCCTGAAGGGCTTCCCTGCCTGTGTTTCCTGCCGCACTGCTCTGCCGTGACCCTCTGTGCCTGCACCAAGTCCACTGTGGGCTCAGCCTTCTACAGGACACACATCCAGAGGCCCTGGCCAGGAATCACGGAGGCAGCTCTGTCAGGGTCCAGATGCCTGTCAGGCACCCAAGAGCCCAACACGGCTGCTGCGGGCGGGCAGAGGCCGGCACACGTAGCTACTCTCAGGCTGGATGGCAGGTGAGGCCGGACATGCTGCAGCAGCCCAGGGCAGCATGATGCCCTCATGGTTCCCAACGACTCCACACACTGGCATTCTTGCAGGACAGGTAGCACCTACAATGACCTCAGAGACTGCAAGTCACAAGCAGGAGCAAAGCCGCTGTTCTTTAGGACACCGTGGGTCAAGTGCTGCTCTTCGTGAACTGTGCCACTTCCTCTGAGACCTAGCAGACCTCATACCCCTCCCCTCAGCCTTCCTTCACTGCCAAGCAAATCATCCACCTGCTCCTCCAGCGTTTCAAGCGCTGCCCGGGCACGACACCATCCCCGACAAACATGTGGCCTCACAAGGAACTCAGACTAGGGAATGAGCTGCCAGAGGCTTCCTAGCACAAGCAGTGGCCAGGACAGGAAAGGGACTGAGGACACAGCCAGGGAAGAGTGATGCAGAGACAGACCACTGCAGAAGCCAGCCAAGGAGCAGGGGCACCAGGACCAGACAGGAGGCCTGAAGCAACCCGCACAAACCAGGCAACTGGGGCTCCAGGACATAAGCAGCAGAAACTCTGAACATGGGGATCTGGGTTGGCGCACGGCAACAGGGTGAATTAAACACCAGAGCACAGGCTTACCACTTGCATCCCCATCTCTCCTCGCCCGCGTCACAGTGCGGGACGCAGCGCCTGGGACACCCTTGGCAGTGGGGGTCTGAGAAGGCTGGCTGGCGGTCAGAGTCCAGGCAAGGCGGGATCCCAGCTGCTGGCGGAAGCAGTCCCCAACGCCTGGACCTTGGTGGGGCTGTCTGGACAAAGGAGGCGACACTCACGTCCTCCACGGCCCCTGATCTTCCTGCCCCATCACCCTAACTCAGAGGAGGGGGCACCTCCCCAGGAGCACATCCGTAATGGCCACGCTGCAGGGCTGGGGATGCCTCGCTGTGCCGCCCAGACTCATTTCTCCTCTGACTTTCCTCTACAACACGCGATTCACATTCCCCACATAGGCGAGTTCTCAGCTAAATGTGACTTCCCCTTTCCCAGGGCATTGGGCTTAAGTCTCTGGAGCCATACTCAGCCTGTCCTCACGCACTCCCTGCCTCGGGCTGCCACAGGGAAAGAGGCACTGTGATTTCAGTGCACTTGGAGGAATGTGCACCTTCAAGCCACAGGAGCTGCTCGGTAATCCTGAGAACGTCCTGCAGCTCCTTTTTAAACTGGAAGCCCACAACGTGACTTCTCTGAGCAAACACGCTCCGGCAAGTGCGTCCAGAGCACCACCTCCGGGGTGATGAGCCCACAGGCAGGACCCTCTCAAGCACTTGCCTCGGGGCGCCAGAGCTTGCACCAGCACCAGCACACCAGTGGGCACACTTGCCATCCTCGAGAGGCCAGCAACAGGGAGGACTTTATCCTCAAAGGGGAGAGTCCACACAATACTTACTAAACTTAAGAGACAACACAAAAAGACTGCTTTGGTCCTACATTCTCAGATTCACCTGTTTGCCTCATAACAGTAATCGTTCCAGAAACCAAGGCAGGAAGCATCTGCGGAGGCACTTAGCCAGAACATTGTGTATAACGCGACCACTGCCAGGCATCACTGTGAACAGGTGACCTGCTCTTCACAGAGCCTACGCCCTGCTCCTCTTCCCTGCTGGGTACTCCCGTTCCAGCCTGTAAACCCTACGGCCTTGCAATTCACAAAACAACGTGGGGCTCCGGATGCTCTGTGAAACACCAGGTACAGGGGTCGGGGAGATGGCTCAGTAGAATAAACACTTCCCTGGTAAGCGCAAGAGCCTGAGTTCAATCCCCAGTTGCACCAAAAAAAGAAAAAAGAAAAAAAAAAGGCTTATACAGATGTTTAGGGGCCGGGGTGATATCTCAGCAGAATAAGCGTTTGCCTGGCAATCACAAGGGCCTGAGTTCATTCCTCATTCTGCCAAAAAAAAGAGAAAAAAATAAAGAAAAAGAAACACCAGGTACTGATGTCAAGTCCCTGTCACTCTTCTGGAAAACGTATCACATGACCCCTGCTTCACTCTGATTCCCAGGAACAAACAAAAGCAACAAGCAAGGCCACCTGGTTACCTCCACATTGAATGTATACTTAAGAACAAGGCTCTGGAGGTCCATGATGACCCCTGGGGCCCACCTTCTTCTCAACCATGAGGTCTGTCTGAACTCAGGATGTAACCAGGCTGGACAGCAAGCAAAGACTATCACAGCTCAGCCCTGCGTTCCCAGGTCCCAACATCTCCTCTCCTACACAGAACACACTAGAACTGTCAGCCTGAGAACACTCCAACATTTACCACTCATACAGAGCCAACACAAAGCACGCCATGGAAGCCTCCAGGGCCCACCCAGTCTGTTGGGGGCATGCCAAGGCCTTGGCCAACGGGAAGCCCAGGTCGCTGCCCCACCAGCCTGGCTGTGTCAGGAGCATTACCCCGGGAGCAGAGGCTGCGGGCCAGGCCCAGGGCCGCTGAGGGTGCACCCACTGATGCTGCTGACGCCGCTGCTGCCCAGGCTGCCTGCGCTGGGCACCGCCTGGGTGCTCCGGTCCTGGTAGTTGAGCGGGAGCGTCTGTGGCCGGGCGTAGTAGTACGGGGTAGAATGGGCATCTCTAGGTAAGGCCTGTGCAAACAGGGACGCATAGCTGGACACCTGAAATGAAAGTGGCAAAGGTCCAGGACAGAACGTCACAGCAGCCCCTACCTCTGCGCTGGCTGTGTACTGCATGTAATGCCAAGCACTGGTAGAGGTGTTCTGAAGCCCCCCGGCACCAACGACTGCAGTGTTCCCCAGTAACTACTCCAACAGCTAATAACTAAACACTTTATTTATTCCTGAGCCAGGCAGCCTGGAACTCAACAGATTCCAGAGTCTGATGTTTTTGATGATGATGACCGAGCACGCTAGAGTTAAGACGGATTGCAAGGCTGCTCTATTTGCATGCCTCTGATGGCCAGAGACAGTATTTTTTTTCAAGTACTTATTGGAACGGCTGAGACTTGTCTATGCAGTTCAGGCTGCCTTGAGCTCACTTTGTAGCCCAGGCTGGCCTCGAACTCACAACAGTCCTCCTGCCTCAGCCTCCTGAGTGCTAGGATTACAGAAATGAGCTACCACGCCGGGCTAGCTGCCCATTTTTTACTTTGGTCTTTTATTTTGGGAGAGTTTGAATTTCTTTTCAGTTTTTTGTAAACCACAGATAGTAATCCTGTCAAGAGGAGTAACTAGCCAAACTTCGTTCCCATTTTGTAGGTTGTCTCCCCATGCTATTCTTTCCTTTGTTGTGTAGAAGCTTTAGAAAAATAAAAGACCATAGGGAAGGCAGATGGATCTTTAGCAAATGAGGAGGAGGTCTAGAGATAGAAAAGAGAGGAAAAGGAGAATGAAATTCACTAAGGTATGTTAAGTGCATGCACCTATTCCCTAAGACAAGTGCAAGCATTAGGTACTACGCATGTACCGAGTTTTAATTTAAGAAATAATCAGAAATAAAGGCCCAATATTGTTCTACAGTGAAGAGAGTGCCCTGGCTTCAGAGGTATCCAGAGCCCAGGCCACACTGCCCAGTGCTTCAGCCCTGAGTGTCTGTCTGCAGCAGGGATCTCCACAGCCAGGCGTGCTCTCCAACACAGCAGGATGGGGAGTGAGGGCAGGCGAGACGCGGCAAACAGGCTGGAGCAGCACACAGATCGTGACCCTGCCCGCCGCAGTGCAGCGGCTCCGGCCCCTTGTGCCTGCAGGGAACAGGCCGGCCATGCTGACGTCATGACCTCACAGAGCATGCAAGGTGTAGGTTTAAGATCCACCAGTCAGGCTCATTTAACTGATTCGGAAACTGCATGCTCCAGGAGCCCTGAAAGAAGGCAAGTAAGCGGCTTGGCCTCCCGACGACGACGATGCGGGCCCCTGCTGCTCACCTTGCTGGCGGGCCTGCGGGGGTCCTCACTGAGGTTCAGCAGAAGGTACAGTATGGACCACTTATTTTTCAAAACTCCCTGTTGAGAAAAAATGTTCTTAGTTAATTCACAGAACACTACAATCACCCTTCTAAGTTCACACATCTCGAGAGCTGCAGCACATTCCAAAATACGCCTGGTAACTCCACACATGTGCTTGTTCCAAGCAGCATCCGACTGCCCCACGTGCTGCGGTCTGGAGAGTGTGCTCTGTGCCAAGGTGCTGAGCCTTCCAATGCCCTGTGCTCCGCCTTGACAAGAACAAATCTTGCCTGTCACCCTATTTCTGCATAGCAGCACTGTCACCCTGAGTCTCAGGCATTCCCACAGCAATCCCAAGTAGACCACAGACCAGGTGTCTTAGCTGATAGGCTCTGGCCCTCGACGAACTGCTGAATGTTATGGTGGTCATCTCATATGGCTGAAGCCCTTAAAACAAGAGCTCATCTTCCCAGAGACCTCCCCCCCAGCCCAGGGTGCCGTTTCCTCTCACCTTCCCTGCTGTCACAGGCAAGACCCCAATCAACCCCTCAGATATTTCTAAACACCCTCCTCAACGCCACCCCTGGCAAAAGTTCAGAAAAGCCTCAGCTTTCTTTGTCTCGGGCCAGAGGATCTACCTGACCCATCTGCCCTGTATCCTCACCGTGTCTTTGGAGTTAATAAAGGCTTTTTTTTTTTTTTTTAATCTTTCCTCTCTTTATTGCACCTCCAAAAAACCTATCAATAACAAGTCTACGGTGCAAAAGCCAGAAGAGCATGGTAAAGACCCTACCTCCCGGCCTGGCACCCACGCCCTGCCACCAGGAGAGCTGATGCTGCGCAACTCACAGCAGTCACTCCTCTCCCTTGTGGCCAGGCTCCCAGCCCGCTCTGCGGCCTCACTCGGGGAGCACAGGCTAGCACACATGGGCACACGTGCCGTGGAAGTTCCTGGATGCTGACTCACGTTACATGAACAGCCCTGAAGTATCTTTAGAGAGCAAGCTCCCCTCAAGTATTTAAACCACTGTCTAACTTGAGAAACTGATTTACAAACATTTCCCCAAACAAACAAAAGGGCAGGAAAGCACCCCATCCTAGTAGGGTCACAGTCCAGGGGCAGCGAGATGAGCAGTGTGTGCACAAACCTCGGTCAGGGCCAGTCTGCTCAAGACCCTTCACGGGCAGGTGGGAGTGGGAGCCAGCGTGCGTCCCGGAGCCAGGAGCAAAGACAGCAGTGGCCAAGGAGCACCGTACCCACAACCACGACCAGTCACCCCCAGGCTGTAGGAGTGGGGTACAGACGGCTTCTCGGAGTCCACAGAGGTGGAGGGTGTGAGCAGGGCTACCTGAGAAACTATGGCACCACTGAGCCACTTGGCCGTGGCTGCTGGTACTATCCTCCTGCCTCGTGCCCTGCCAGGAAAGCCCAGAAGGGAGGAGCAGAGACAAAGCCAAGAGAATCACCCCAGCAACTGCAGCAGCAGACATTCTTCAGATCCCTCAGACTCTTGCACCTCGCCTTCCTGAAAGAGCCCCAACTCACACATGGCGCTTCATAACCATATGTACCAGGCGCTAAATGAAGCACAGGTCAGGACACCCCGAGGTCGAGAAGTATCAAGGTAAATGCTTCTACAGAGCTACTCAACCACATCAGTGCAGCTACTGCGGCACCCTGCAAGTTGCAGCTGACACCTGGTCCCCACCACTGTCCCCACTGTCCCGACTGCCCTTCTGCCTCATCACACCCACTGCACAGTGGGCTCCCACTACGGACATACCACCTCCCTGTCCTGCCTACGTCACAGGCTAAGGGCAGCCATGCACACTTGGTCTCTGACCTCCACCCCCAGGTAGCTCCCAGGGCAAGCACGGCATACAAGTGTACACAGGCACACACACAGGTACCTTCCCTGAGGAGGGGACAGAGCATCACAGCACCTCTGCACACTGCAGGAGCTTAGCACCCACCACAGTGACTTCCCAGCCCCAGCCCTAGACTGACTTCCAGCCTCCCTCCCGCACCTACCTGGGAGTGCAGCTTCCTATGGAGCTCAGAGAACAGCGCGGCATCCGCCTCTCTCCTCTGCCGGATAACTGCAAAGTCCAGGAAGAAACTCTGCTCAGCAGACTCATTCTGACACCGTTTCACCCATGGTAACAGGCAGCTCAGAAGAGCTGAAAAGAATCCTGAGCTTAAGATTCCAAAACTCAGGGCTGACTTTTCTGCTCTGAGCGTGGTCATCCGTCCAACCTCTGACATTCTGACATGTGTAACATATGGGATGTATTATGCTGGGGTCAAAACATGTATGTGGAGATTAAATAACAGAAACAAAGGAATCAACTAGTGATTATGTTCCTAAAAACGTTCATCAGCGAGGAGCAAACTATCATCAGTTTCATGACTTACTAGTAACTCCTGGAAAAGGGATGACAAGTCAAAGCGCAATAACCAGAAAGTACAGCACTCAGGACAGTCTGATTCGAGAACACGCCTGTTAGGATACAACACAGCAACACTTCCCCTTGTGTCAGTATAAAACTACCAACTGCCGTTTCAAAATAGAATAGCAGAGTAGATTTTCACTGTGTCGATGTCTCCGACTACTGTATCTGAATGAAGCAGCAGCAAACTCAAGCTTGTCTGAGGTCTGGTTCCCTGCCAAGGCAGAAGCCATGGAACAGCCAGGAGCCGGGACTACACCACTCACCATTCCTGCAGGTGTCTCTCAGGAAAGCCCACACCCTCAGGACATGCACTGTTCAGCCAACTGACAAGGTCATGCTCCCCAGTGAGTCTGTTCACCAATTTCAGGAGTGGGGCTTTATGACAATCCCATCAGCACCCCACACTTAGCCTCCACCCCTCCATCCCCCCCCAGGACTGAGGATTGAATCCAGGGCCTGACACATACTAAGTGAGATCGCTACCACAGCCAACAGCCCCAGGGCCCCCCTGCACCCTTCTTTAGTTTTCAAACAGACTCAGAAGCTGCCAAGACCAGCCTCAAACCTGTGACCCTACTGCCCCGGCATCCCAAGCAGCTGGCATTACAGGTGTGTGCCGCCATGCTTGGCTCACTTAGCTCTGAATGGTCAAACTCCATGTTGGCCAGGTGAAGCTGGGGAAAGTGACACTGCTTGTGAATTAGTAGCTAAGTCCTTGCACTGCAGGAAGACACAAACGCATCTGGCCTACACTGCCAGCATAGCTCGCACACAGCAACAGCACGCTCTCCACCTACCTGGTCACACGGTCTGGGGACAGGACATCCCCACAGACTCCTGCCCAAAGCAGTTCACAGCAGCTGGCTGTGGGAAGCCATGCCCTGGAAACAACTCCCAGCCTGCCAGACACTGGGCACAGATGGCCTTCATGCAGGTGGGCAGGTGGTGGGCTCACAGGAGGGCTGAGTCCTGACAAGAGCATCCTCCACACAGGGCCCAGGCCCAGGGAGCAGCGCAGACCAGGCCATGAGCACGAGCCACCTCCCACCAGGGCCAGCTGCCCGTGGCCACAGCTGCTCAGTGCCAAGCTTCCCAGGCTAGGGGGGGTGCTGCCCTCCCCGCTGACCACTGACCATTCACACAGCTGCCTCCTCCCAGCATGCACTCAGGAAGGCTCAGGGACCCGCAGGAGCATGGAAGTCTGGGTGGAAACCATGCAGAGAGCAATGGCCAAGAGCTGTAGGGCATTGTGCTGCGCCATGCGCCCAAAAGGAGGCAACACTAATGCCGCAGAGCTCGCGTGTGGAAGCTCCAGGAAGCCTTTCAGCTTCTTCACCTGCAGCCACACTGTACCGCTGCAACCACACTGACACATTCCTAGTCCTCCCTCTAACCAAGTTGTCCTTTTTATCATACCTATAATTAAAATGTGCTTGGGAGCTGCACATAGACATACACAGGAATACGTACACATATGTTCCTAAGTTCTGACAATCCAACAAGTAATACTTAAGAAAAATACATACGTTCTTTCTTGATTTTTTCAGCTACTAGGAATTCATCTCTCTCAACAGTAGGGGCAAAGTTGCTGCCAATAACTCGTACAGCAAACTGGAACTGCTGGGCCACGTCAGCTGGAAGGTAAACAGGAGGATGCACATTAGCAGTAAGTGGGCCCACGTGACAGTCTGCACAAGTAACTCTGCCTTTCACG